GCGCGATGCCGTGGCGGGGGGGGTTGGCACTAGGGACGGGAAGCGGTTCTTCCCGCTACTCCCCAGCTCCTCCGCGCGCCTGCGGAGCCGGGAGGTTCAGCCAAAGTGCCACTCGCTGGTAAAGATCAGTGTTTTCCAACGGACTCCTTGCAGACGCCCTTCGGCCTCCTCAGAGTATTCAGCGTTGTGATCCCTTTCCTCTATGTCGGGACTCAGATCAGTAAGAACTTCGCAGCCCTGCTTGAAGAACATGATATCTTTGTCCCAGAGGATGACGATGACGACGATTAAAGGGTACGTCATTAACATCACCAGCAATCTAATTATTTGTGCTTCCTGTTTGGCTTGGGGCAGGAAGGAGAGTCTCGGACTAGGAAATACAGAGAGCAACAGCCTGAAAGATGCACTTGCAGTTAAACGCAGGGACACCTGCAGCTGTATTGCCTCTGGCTACAAACGTTTCTGTTCCTTCATGCTGGAGTAGGCCAGACTGGTGTCTGAATGTGAAATCTCCACAACATACATTCTCTAGAGGTCGTAATAAACTGATGGCGTTGGTAGATCTTGTCATTTGAATCAGAAATAAACTAGTCCGTGAAAGCCTATACTGCAGACAGGAAAGAGGGACTTCAGTGTTATTACATGTTTACCTGTTTAGAAGTCTTCTGCTAACTCACAGAATGACTGTTTTTAAAAAGAATCACTCATTGTATGAAATTCTGATATAAAGTGAACGATTTGAGAGAATTCCAGAACCCGTCAGATCAAGCTGTCAGGTGGGTGTCACAGCACTGATCTCTGGAGTAGTTGGACCACTGAGACTCATCGGATAAAGGAAGAGCAGAAATGATTCACCTTTATCTATAGTACATTACACTACATTTTCCTCTGTTTTATGTTATTCCATTTGACTTGTCCTTGTGTAAAGACTTGAGTTTGGGTGTATTTATTTATAGAACAAAGAAGTTGTTTTAAAGAAGTTGTTGTAAATAGCGTTGCTTTGTAATCAGTTTGGTGGATGTATTGCATTTGATAAAGGGATTTTCCAGCATTGTCATGATTTAACCCCAGCCGGCAACTGAGCCCCACACAGCCACTCGCTCACTCCCCCCACAATGGGATGGGGGAGAGAATCAGAAGGAGAGAAGCGGAAGAGTAAAAATTAGAAAACTCATGGGTTGAGATAAAGACAGTTTAATAGGTAAAGCAAAAGCTGCGCATGCAAGCAAAGCAAAGCAAGGAATTCATTCACTACTTCCCACCGGCAGGCAGGTGTTCAGCCATCTCCAGGAAAGCCAGGCTCCATCACGTGTAACGGTCACTTGGGAAGACAAACACCATCACTTTGAACGTCCCCCCCTTCCTTCTTCTTCCCCCAGTTTTATATTGGTGACCATGACATCATATGGTATGGAATATCCCTTTGGTCAGTTGGGGTCAGCTGTCCCAGCTGTGTCCCCTCCCAACTTCTTGTGCACCCCCAGCCTACTCGCTGGTGGGGTGGTGTGAGGAGCAGAAAAGGCCTTGACTGTGTGCAAGCACTGCTCAGCAGTAACGAAAACATCCCTCTGTTATCAACACTGTTGCAGCACAAATCCAAAACATAGACCCATACTAGCTACTATGGAAAAAATTGACTCTATCCCAGACAAAACCAGCACAAGCATGCACTGTGCAGCTAAAAACAGAGAATTAAAAGACTGTAAAGACTACAATGGCCTGTTAGAAAGTCTTTTATGTAAGCCCGCACCTTGTGTGGTTTGGGCAGAGGGGTACGAACTGGAGCTCGGTACAGTATATATGAATAGTAACTGCTTCTTATTCTATTTGCAGAACTGTAATGGAAGAACAGAAGGGAGAAAACCATTGACAAAGCAATGGTTCCAACATCTGTTGCCTGTGTTTTGTCCTTCCTAACTGGGATGGGGGGCTCTGCATCCCCTGTGCCAGCGAGTGTCCTGCGCGTGTCTGTATGACGGAAATCTGTAGATCAGGGTTGAAGGAAGTGCTTGATAGGCCCTGCATCCTTGCGCACACACGCTCACCTCATCAAAGACTGCTTGGGACTCCTTTTATTAGCAATATGGGAAACAATTAAAGATCAAGAGATTGAGATACATGACTTTGGTCTTGTGTTTTTATAGATTATGTGCCTGTGACCTAGCATTTCTGTATTAACCTTTCTACGTCCGTATGTCTGTTCCAGTAAGGAGGCTCTCTTCATATTTATTTCCTCTTAGGAGTCCATTCTGTAATTCAGTACTCGTCTACAGCACATGACAGGAATCCTAGAGGAAGCAGCAGCCCCACAACACAGCCCCGTTGAATGGAGTTCACATTGACACTGGCACTGCACTTCAGATAATGTTGATTTACAACCCAGCACTATGCAGGGATGCCTGATGGAGACTGTATCATCAATTTCACCTCACTGAGGATTAACTACAGTGTTACCATGGCAGAGTTAAAGTTTTGAGTAGGTTTGGTAATGTTAAGATCACAAGTGGCAAACGAACTTGCTGATGTGTTTTATAGCATTAAGTGTGTCAACAGTGAAAATCTCTGAACACTCTGGCTTCACGTACCTAGTATTTCCTAGGTAGTTCAGTACTTCCTTCTGTATGAGCCCTAATGTATTTATTTTCTTAACTGTGTATAAACTGCAACTCTTCTTTTCATAGAAGTGTTTACTATTGTAATTAAATCCTTGCATAATAGATTTAAAAGGTCTTCTCTCCTGCTAGGGCATGCGTAGAGTATCTTCAGTCACATCAGACCATTGTTTTCTCAAGTACCTTGAAAGGTTAAAGTCAAATGATTTTTTTTTTTTTTTGGCCAGCATTGCCCCAGTGTGTCTCTCATTTTCTGGTCACTAGATCTGGCCTCTTCTCTTTACTGCCCACTTTTCCCTTCAGCATTCTTGTAGCTGTTAAAAAACATCTTTTAATGTCACACACATTAGCACGGTGTATAGTTCAGCCACATTTGCTCCCTTATTATTCAGCACTGCTTTTGATGTTTGCTCTGTAACTCCCCAGCGCAGCTACTGAGAGAAAAGGGAGCCTGCAGTAACCCCAACAGCTGTAGCTGCAGGCAGCTGGCAGGTTCTTGAGTCGCTCGGTATCTGAGTTGCCCCTCCTTCCCCAAGGCCACCTGAGAAGTGGCTGCTCAGTTCCTCTGTTCTTGGTAGCCAAACATGTCTCTGCTCCTGTTCTCTATACCGACACACTCCTTATCGCTGCTTTATCCCACCATCCCTCCTGGCCGCTTGCTGGCTGTGTTCCTTGTTCAACTCTGTCCTTAAAAACACCTCACCCCCAAAGCCCCTAGGTACTCATATGTACACATCCCTGAGGAGTGCTGCTTCACATCCTCATATGGGGAAGAAGGCCCCAGTATTTAGGCACAGATTCAATGCTGATCACACATGGGGGAGCTCCAGCACCAAGTTACCTGCTGAAAACGTGTTCTGACTGGTGAAAGAACATGTTCTCCTTACCCTTCTCAAAAGGGAGCTAGCGATTCCTGACTCAGTTAAGGAGGTGATGGTAGGACACCATCTTCTGCTAGGCATCAGAAGCTCTTACAGAGCCTCCCTATTCTAGGCAACAGTACAAAACCCCGTTTTTCCATGTAATTTCATTTTGCAGCAGGGAAATAGACTCTGCTGATCTTTTTATTGCACAAAGGTCTTGATTGGCTTATTGGATTTTACACCATTCTCTGCGAGGAAGTAAATAAAGAATAGCATCCAGGCAAGAAACACAAGGTCAACAATGTCATAGCATGAAATTGCAAAACTGCATGAATACAGATGGGCCTCAAGCACAAGAACACTTCTGTGACTATACTGGCTTTTCTGCTTTTTCTTCTACAGAGCTAAGACCTACACACAGGGCTGCAGGCTAGGCAGAAAGCCCCACAGCCAGGCTGGGTTAGTTATTCAGCAGACGCTCCAGGGCAAGTGATGGGACAAACTCCATCCACTGAAAATATACATTAGCAAAAACTAGGGAATCACAGCTCTTCATACAGATCATAACAACTTGCACACACTCAGAATTCAGAGTTAGTCACTAGGCTCCTAATATGCTATACAATCTTTCTGTACAGATTTTTTTTCTACTATATAGAACTTTATTTGTAATACAAGGCAGGAAGATACAGAGTCAATCTCTCAGGGATCGTGGCCTGCATAGAATTTGGACAGAAAGTCTTTAGGTCGTGGGGTTTCCGTCTCATGGAAATACCTCATGACGTGAGTCCTCTGCTTCCATACCTGAATGGTTTCTTGAAGATCCATCTTTCCCTTCAAACAGACAAAAAAATTTTAGACTAGTTCTCAGTTGGAGCCTGATTCTAACTATACAGCACTATGAAAGTTATTTGAATGCACTTAGAAACACCCTTAAGAAAGCTGCATCAACAATTCTGTACTCCTAAACACTGCTTGCATCACCTATACTGTGACACAAATATATATACTGTTCCTGCCTTGTGACTTTAATGCTTCACGTCCCATATTAACACGTCACTTTTCTCTACAGCACAGCTTTCCAGCCCTGTGGAATAGGCAGGGGACCCTGCCCCCTTCTTAGAACCTGGCTTGTTTCTCTCATGACCTGCACCCCCATAAAATTCTACATAGCATTCCTAACTTTTATGCACTTCTATTTAATTTTTTTGAATAGCGGCAAGTTAGTTGTAAAACTAAGTAAAATTGCTGCTATGTGCTTTGCACCAATATCACTACCACAGAGATATTAAACATAATTTCTTCATGACTCCAGTCTATGAATTACTGTACTGGTTTCGGAGGATGGCAGCACGGCGCAGAATGAGACTGCCTGGAACTGTCACCTACCATATTACCTAGGATTCTGTTTCTGGATTTTTTCATCATGTAAAGACAGACTAACTGTCTTGAAATGCAAGAAATACAACAGATGAGCATGGCAGTCCTTGGTTGGAAGCTTTCTAATGCATTATAACTGCAGAGGTCAGTTATCGTTGCTCAGACCCTTTCTGAAGCCTTGCCCTACTCTTGGTATGCCAATTATTGCTTTGCACCAGACAGGCCTCTCAGGCCTAAGACAGAACCAGATGTGTTACAGACTCGAGGTGTTTTGCCACCCAAAGCCAGCCTCCCACCAAGTACTGCCACTCTAATGTACGTTTCAGAATCGGTGAAGAAAACCACATCCCAATCCAAGGAAGTACTGTAGGGAGTAAACTGGTTATTTTTAATGGTCAACTAGCTAGCAGCATCTTTTTCCCCTTTCTTTGTTGCCACTGGTTTCTAAAAAAACCCAAAACATAGTATTTAAACTACGGTTTTGCTTGCCATTCACTTCCTCTTTTAAACATCTGCAAACTGGAAGAGCCAGTACACTGCATGACAGAAATCCGTATTGGAGCAACTCTTGACTTAGGTGAGTTAAGACCCTATTCCTCTGCATGCTAAAGCAGCTTGATCCTTTATCAACAGGTTTGTTGACAGAGATAAACCAATCTGGATTGCAAGAGACAACGCCTCCATAGCGCAAGCTGAGATAAAACTGTCCCTCTCCTCCATCACATTCACCACCAATTATCCACTCTCATATTCTGTGCAGCTTCAACAAAACGGGAATAACTTGTTTGTACCTTAATAACCAACATGTCTATCACCCGTGGATCTGTAACGTGGGCATTCTTCATGAACATCTCCCGCACCTTGTTACGCCCCTGTTTCACCGTGATGTCCAGCTGGTATAGGTGAACTAGGAAAAACAGAACACCCACAGAGGTCATCTATACTGCTTTTCATTTTTTCCACTGACAATGTGCAACTCAACCCTACAAAACACTACACAGTCACTTGTTCTTGCAATGTCTGCCAGCTTCACTAATACAATTACTTTAAAGCAAATAACGCAGCCATGGTACAAGTCCTAGTGCAATTTTAAGGAGGCAGGCAATCGTGCCACACATCCCTGTTCCGGAAAATTAAAGCTTAGTTAGGAAAACCAAGTGGCAAGTAAGGCCTGAGGAGCCCGGGGTTCCCCCTCCCGGGGACGCAGCCGGGGCAGGGAGGGCGGGCCTGTGCTGCACCGGGGAGCGGCCGAGAG